AGAGAGAGAGAGAGAGAGTTCGGCGCGACCCTCCGTGCAGGTCGCCGCCCCTCCGTCCCTCTCTCTCTCTCTCTCATTTCGAAAAACGAAACGGGAATGCATCTTCCCGGGGATAGCGGGAAGATGCATTCCTGTTTCGTTTTTCGAAAAGAGAGAGAGAGAGAGAGAGAGAGAGAGAGAGAGAGAGAGAGTCTCGTTTCGAAAAATGAAACGGGAATGCATCTTCCCCCTATTGCCGTTTCATTTCTCGAAGCGAGCGAGAGAGAGAGATTGAGAGAGAGAGAGAGAGAGAGAGAGAGAGAGGGGCGGCGAGTTCGCCGCGCCCCTCCGTGCAGGTCGCCGCCCTTCCCTCTCTCTCTCTCTCTCTCTCTGCGAAAGCGGGAAGATTCCTTCCCGCTTTGTGTTTCCGAAGCCGTTCGGTAAACACAAAGCGGGAATGAACCCATTCGTTTTTCTTATTTCTTTTTTTTTTTTCGTTTTTTTTTCCCATTTTTTTTGTGCCTTTCACTCCAACGTTCGGGATGCCTGCGCCCAGTAGTCCGAGCCGCGGCATGGATCGGCGTACCGGTCGGCCGAGGCTCGGACTCGATAGCTGGGCCAGGTACTGGTGGTTTAAGGACCACGGTCTCCTTGGCCTCCTACAGGTAGCTACCTGTCCTACGCGGTCCTGGCCCTTGCAAGGCCCCAAAACCTCGAAATGCCCACCCTCCCGATGACCACGACGTTGAAATTTGATTGATGTTGAAATGTCTCAGGGGGGGGAAAACGCAACCCTAACGGGCTACCTGCAGCATGCAGCATGTCAGTGGCGGGGAGCACAACGGCAGGCGCTGACCTCCAACAAAAAAAAGAAGTAATTTTATCGGAATACAAGAGTTTTTTCTTTTTGAAATCCGAATAGAAAGGGTATAGGTTGTATTCGAATACAATGTGTACGTTTTCTATTCGAGGAACTCTGCTATTTGAGAAAAGTGTACCCGCGCCGTTTCAATTTCGAACAAGGACTGCGGCCTCCTCGGCCTCCTACGCGCAGCTACCGGTCCTATGCAGTCCTGGCCCTTGCAAGGCCCCAAAACCTCAAAATGCCCACCCTGCGGACGACCACCGACGTTGAAATTTGATTGACGTTGAAATGTCTCAGGGGGGAAAACGCAACCCTGACGGGCTGCGAACTGTCACGGCTGGATAAAAAATCTGAATGACGTGGTGGTTAGGTGAGATTTTTGTGCTTTGAGTGAACCGATGGCTTAAAGCACCAGTACACCCGGCAAAGCTTGGGCAGAGCTTGGAGTGTAGCGGTGCCAGCCTTTTTAAGGATGCCACTAAGCATAGATACATCTGGGACTGGCGGCGCCGAACTCCAAGCTTTGCCCAAGCGGTGCATTTTTTTCCTTTTTTGGCTGGCGCTGCTAGCCATTGTGGGCTGGTAGCCCTGAGACTCCGTAATCTTAGAAGTGAGTCATGAAGAAATCTTGGGAGCCTGGGGCTGTGTACTGGTGGCTGGCGGATGCTTGCAACGACAGCTGTACTCAGATATGCTTCTGTCTGGGTAGCAAATCCAGTGAACCTGGTACTTCCAGGGGTTCTTGGTAAAAAGGGCGGGTCATTTTGGAGACTGTGGTGTGAGGTTCCGAACAGCCATGGATCATGCAGTCGTGCTGTCTCCTGCATTTTTTTAATAAATGTCTTGCATACTAAAGGCCTAACTCAACGAAGAGGCAGAATCCAAGCATATGTTACGATCCTGGTCATTTCCCAAGTGCAAATTCACAACGAAAGACAATGCCACCCAATTGCGAAAGAAATGAAAGCACTTGCAAAGAGATTGAGACCAGAGGAGAGATATTAAAGAAGAAGAAGGAGAAGAAGAAGAAGAAGAAGAAGAAGATATGCACCAGCAAGACCAATGACAACTCCCCCTTCTCTCTCCGCCTTCCTCCTCCTCCTTTTCTTCGCCAATCTTATTCTTCTCCCAACAATCTCCCAACAATAATAATAACAATGAATGGATGAACCAGAATCAATATCCGAAGTTCCCTCTTACTGCTGACTCAACAACAACACAACAACAACAACAAGTCCACCATAGCTATGGCTTCCCTCTTTCAGTCTCCTCTCTCATGCATAGGCTATGGCGGACTAATGAGGGCCCTGCCCTCTTGTCCAAAGGACAACCCAAAGCAGCTATGGCGCTGCACTCCTGTCCAAAGGACAACCCAAAGCAGCTATGCTGCTGCTGACTGTTCCGCCATGCCTGACCCTGCCTCGAGCCTCCTTGGTGCAGCACTACCCCAACTGGGGCCTTCCAGATGCAGCGCCCAACAAGGTGATGAAGACGGTGTCCACCATAGCCAGGTAGGTGCCTCGCCACTCTCCTCGTTCGCCCCCTTCTTCCTCCTCCTCAAGCTGGACCGCTCGCCATAGCCAGGCTGAGCTCCAGCTGCCATTCACCTCCAAGCAGCGCTGTAGCAGCCAGCGCTGTGCTCCAGCAGCATGTCGCCAATCCTTGCACACCACAAATGAGAAGAGCTCTTCACTCTCGCTGGAGATATAGCGGCCTACTGGCCTCCTGGGCGGTGACTTCCTTGGCTGAGCGGCCTCCCAGCAACCGGTACCTCCTCGTTTTCGGAAGGAAACATCATTGCAGGCGCTGCTATCCTCCGTACAGGCCCTAGACCCGGGCTACTTGGACTGGTACTGGCCTACCTCTATCCTACCGCTACTGGGCCTCTAAAAATGCCAACTTTTTGTCTTCTTCTGTTCGGCCTCCAGTGCCCGACATTCCTACCACTACTTGAGTGGGGCCGGCCTACCTGCCACTTGAGTGTTTTTCCCCGCTGTTCTAAGTGTCGCGGGCCTACCCCCGCTACTTGAGTGTTTTCCCCCCTGCAACCCTCAAAGTCACGGCCACAGGTAAGTACCGGCCCTGTGGGGCCTTTCAACCGACAAGTACCCTTGCGGGTCACACACACACTCAGCCAACAAGCACTTAGACAGGCACGCACACCAGCAGGCACGCACACACACACAGACTTGGAAACCACAGCAGAATGCGGGAATCACAGCAAGGCATTCATTCCAGTGGCAAATCCCAGAAATCAGCAGTGTTCTCAGTCTGTGTTTTTGGCGGGTCATTACACATACCTGTTTACCTGGGCTGAGAAAATTCTGACTTATGAGTGTTGTTTGTGGTGTTTTTTGCTTTGTCTCAGGCAGCTGAAGATTACTTGACATGGGTCGTTTCCCACTCTTGCAATGCAGCTCATGGGGAGCTGAAGGGGGATCCAAAAGACGTAACTGCAGTGATGGAGAGTGAGTAGCAACACCTTGTGCTCATCTGCCTGCCTGGTTGGCTGCCCGGCCGTGTCTTGAGAAAGTGACGAGTGTCCTAATGTTTTTTGCAAGGAGCAGTGTGGGTCATGTGGTGTTGATGGTATTTCAAGTTACCGGCCTGTTAGAACTCAGATATTCTTACCAGCAGGAACTCATTCGAAGGGCATGAATGAATTGACCTAACCGGAAGTAGAATTGACAAAGCTGAGATCACACCAAGAGCACTCACAATTCTGAAGTCTCGTGATAATGAAAGTCCTCTTCAAGCCTCCAATCAATCTATACAACAACAGAGTAGTAGCCCTCAACTCAGGTACCACCACTGCTACCTCGTCTGGCCTGATCATCTATGAACCCCTGAGACTCATGCAGATGATCACTGAAGAGTCTGACCTCGGGGGCAAGTATCCACCAACCCTCCCGTCTACCCAAGGACCTCCTCCAGGTCACACCGGCCACCTCAAAAACACAGCACCCTTTAGGCTATGGCTTCCCACTTCTTCGTCCAGATGCGGTGTGGCCCAGGCATGAGGGTATCGGCTCTGGGGGGTTAATCGTTCAATGTGCGAGTAGACGGCTTGTGTTTGGAAAAACTGTCTGATGCTACCATGTAGGGTTAGTCCTTTTCTGTTGCCAGTAGATTGGTTTGTGTTCGGAAAAATCGTCTGATGCGACCGTGTGTGTTATGCTCACTCTGTGTGTATGTGTTCCTGCAGTGGCAAACACGGATTCACCAAGCACCTGGTACTACAACTACTGTCGCGAGTTCTTCAGAACCCTGTGCTTTTCGGATCATGAAATGTTCGATCATCCTGTGACATGTACGTGACACTATTCTACCTTCTGCTTTCCATAGATGAAAAAGGTGAAAAAGGGGTGTAATGGGAAATGAGGAGGTGTAAACGATCTCGTACCTCCCTTGTGTCGGAATGAAGCGCAGATGTAGCTGTCAATGAACAGATCCCTGGGTTGAAATCCTGACGACAGTACAATAACCTTTGGTTCTAAACCCCTTTCAGAAGAAGATGCAAGAATGCGCACTTTTGTCATGAGTTTCATACAGCGCCACCTGCGCTCAGAGTTTTTCTTCTCGTCTCTTTGTCTTTCACGTCGTGTGTTTTCTAGATTTCACGTTGTCTCTATCTTGATGCTCACGTTGCGTATATTGCGATTTAGCACTTGATGTGTCCTCCTTCTGACATCTTCATAGTCTGTGCTGGTTTGGTTTTCGGAAAGGCAGTCTTTGTGTCGTTTCTTTTGGTGGAAAAGTGGTGGCTTTCAGGGCAGCTTGCAATTATCTGCTGTTAGTGTATATATGAGCCTCCTTTTTCCGAACCAGAACAACTAATTCGTAAAAGTTAGGGGACTCCCCCCAGGCCGGGCCTGGGGCCGGGTGGATTTGTTTTTGTCTTTTCCCGTGCGGCAATAGTGCCAACCCTGACGCGCGGGACAATTTTCGTTTTTTTGCCCGGCCCTAGGCCAACCGGCGGCCGAGTTCCGTAACTTTCAAGGAATGAGTCATTCTTTACTCTAAAGTTTGCCTGGGCGGTGTACTTCCCTACACTTATAAAAATCACTAATGTGATAATTTTTGCATCCGGGCCGTCTGCGGACCTACGGGCCCGACGGCATCGGGAATGGTCTGGATTGCCGCTCTATCTTTGGACAACCGGTAGGGCCTTGTGTAGAGGGCCATGTCGTCTTTGGCCGTTGCAGGGCGGCACTTTCCCTGCACTGAGGTCCAACCGGCACCAACACCCGCCCGTCCAATCGAACAAGCACATGCACGCACACATGTACAAGCACAAACACACGCATGCATGCAAATGCATCATGGGCAGCCTGCCGGGGTTCAACCTCCTGATGAGTTGGTGAAAGTCCAACAAAACAGCCTGGCACAGTCGTGCTTTTTTCGTGGGCATCACACAAACACACAAACTGTATGTGTGTGTGTGTGTGTGTGTGTGAGAGAGAGAGAGAGAGAGAGAGACCAAGCACCCTACCATGACGACGCTGAGTGATGAAAACGAGGTTGAAGACGCCGATGAAGATGAAGATAAGGAATAAGGAGCACTGTTTGCAAGGACAAGGTAAGATGATAATGGCGTCAGGAAAGGGGGCGGAAACAGGCTATGGTGGTTTTGTTTTTCTTTCCTACTCACTCTGATCACGAAAGGGAGACGGAGCGACATGAAGGGGAGGACGAGGCTATGGTGCTTTTGTTTCTCTTTCCTAATCACTCTGATCACAAAAGGGAGACGAAGCGACATTAAGGGGAGGACGACGAAGAGGAGGAACACGAGGAGAAAAAGGAAGGCGAAAGCCTTAGAGGGAGCGATGGTAGGGAGGCATAAAGAGATGGAGCTGGAGGAGAAGGGGGAGGAGGAGGACAAAGGGGAAGTACGAGAAGAGGGAAAAGTACAGAGCCTCCAAAAAGGAGGGAGAAGAGGAAAAGTTAGGGGGAAATTCGAAGGGGTGCAGGGGGTGAAGCTAGGGGGAAGTCGCTGAAAGGGGGTTGGAGGTTGAAGGCGTGAAATCACACACGTGGTTAGGATACGAGGCTCGGAATCGTGCTTTCATTTTTCTTTTCGTTCTTTTTTTGTTGTTGTTGTTGTGTGTGTGTGTGTGTGTGTGTGTGTGTGTGTGTGTGTGTG